ATTTGTCAACAATGGCCTTGCTGGTGGTCAAGCAGTGAGACAAGAAAAGTAGCCTGTTCGGGATGCCTTGGTGGCCGACCGGCCGTCTAGGTACGCTATGCCTAGGCCGTATAACTATGCTGAATAACACGAGTCGTGTTGCGCCTGGGTCGCAATCAAGCTTGCTAGGTTCTAAGTACACCTTGCGACGCGATGGAAAGGGCGCAAAAACTTGCATCAGGAAGAAACGAGACGAGACGAGAGCGATATGCGATTGATGGTGCCGTGTCTCGACAGCTGCCGTCAGTCAAGAGGCATAACTTCGACCAGCAGATGAGTTGAATAATTCAAGTGCCGCAATTAGCCATTCCTGTGCCTGACAATCAATCGCCCCCCCTGTTTCTGACCAATGTCTCTGGTCAAAACAACGGCGGTCCCGTCCCGTGAGGCTCTAGAAGCTGTGAGATGGGCATGGGCTAGAGCGAAGAGCAGCACTGGACCATAGAGTGGATAACCAAACCAACGTCGAGCCTGGAATGCACCGCCAGATGGCGTGTTTTTGTAATACATGTGCAAAGCGGGCGGGACGGGTCTCGTGGGCGAGTTGGCGTTGTTATGATCAAAGTCGCGTCGTTCTGCTGGTATGGAACGGACGCCCGCCAGGAATCTCTCGTCCTGGAAGCCGGCGCCATGACAGATTTCTTTGATGTTGCGGATGAGGGTCTCGCTGATGTTCAAGATCACGAATTCCAAAGTACGAGGTTTGGTGGGTAACTTTCCAGTGACGCGAGTTCGACGTGACTTTCACTTGAGTTTGTCGTACTATTTCGGCGTGAAGTGGGGGACTATTAATCGAACTAGATTATCGTCGATGCCGACCACTTACGCAAGCCCCAGGTACGAATAGCCCACGGCACTCTCGAGCCGATGAGGGGGGGGGGGGTCTTTCGTGCAGCAGTCAGCAGGGCTCGTGACATGACTCTCCTCGTAAATGGCCATTGGGTTTGGGAGAAGGGCCTCTCCCTGTACCTCTCGTGAAGACCGATAAATCGTACAGGCCTGGACCCAGAAGGCTGTCAATGTTTCAACGTTTCAGGTGGGAAGGTGGTGGCTGCGCGGCCATTGCTTTTCGCTCTAGCGCAGATCGATCGTAACTTCCGAAATTGTGGTGTGGATTTGTGGACGTCATGGCCGAAATGAGATGAAGGAAATGGCACGGCCCAGCAGGTAAATAATCATAGCCTGTAAGAGTAATCTGTACGAATACTTCATAGGTGGTGTGAGAGTCCAAAGGCCTGACGCCTTTGAAGGGTCGTGATTGAGCGAGCACGCGCTGTATCCGTACCTAGGTAGCTACGATCAAAGCTTGGTCGGATCTCCATGGTTCTTATTGTCCCTTCGTCTTGGCAACCGCGGTAGTCACAAGTGGTGGATATTTGTAGGTAGTGTCGGGCCAAGTACGAGTGAGTGTTCGTCGTTACTAATTAGCGACCGGCGGATAATGGATGATGTGCAACGCTATTGAAGCCATTGGCGTGGTTCGCGGTGAGTTAGCTCTCTGTCGTTGATCTTTTGGCCCATAGTATTGTTGTTGAGAAAGTAGATACGACGCTCTTGTATACCTGGAGAGGGGATGATCCACAGCACGACGAGAAGCCGAAATCTCTCGGTTCTCCATTCATTCGTTCTAGCGGAAGCCCGTAAGATAGTGGCATCTGGCACTTTGGTCGTCATGGTTGTAAATAAGATTTGGTTGCTGGAGAGATTTACTGAATCCTCACAAAGAAGCCCACGTAGCACCGTCGGTGGGGAGCTAACTGAGTGGGTGCATCGCGCATTTCAAGCGGAATTCTGTAGCGAAGCTTGGTGTACATTAGTCTTTGGTACTCCGTAGACCGATGATAGATTCTTCATGAGCAGTTTTGGACTGAAGGATGTTCTTTCCCGCTCAGGATGGCTTTGCATCAGCTGGTCAGGGATTCTCCAGATTTCAGACGACGTGGACATGTACGTGCGCAAGAAGGGTTCATCGCGAATCTGTTCTCGACCCTTGGCCAGTGGCGCTTGCTGGACTCCAAAATTCAAAGCTATTCCTACTCCTCGAGTGCGTATCTGTACCGAAAACCGATGGGCGATAGGGGTAACTGGGGTTGCAATAACCTCCGTCACCCGCCACCCGTGATCCATCTCTACGGCGATTGTCGATGGTAACCGTGTAACGTCGCTAAGAGCCGAATCTCGTATGAGCGCTTGATGTCAATTGTAGTAGCGCACGGTGGCTGTGACACGGTGACAAGGACAGCCGAAATCAACAATGGATGGTCGGAGTCTGGAGAAGACCCAAACAAAAGGGGGACCATGGTTCAGAGGAAAGAGGCTAGCTAGTTGCTGGTGCCGGATGATAGGTATCCCATTCCCACATCATCGAATTGATATGTGAGGTGACGACGACGACAGCCGAGGGCGACGACGACGATAGCGACGAATCGATAAAAACAAAGGAGACCAATTGACCAGCCTGGCGAGTGGAAATAACATCGTCGACATTTTCGGGAAAGGCGCTTGACAGACGGTTAATTGCCTCGCAGTATCGAAATTGAGCAAAGCTGCCAAAAGCCAGCCCATGGTTAGTGGGAGCAGGGATTGGTTTACCTATGCATGGTTCTTTGATTGTGCCAAGGCAATCTGATTCGACTGGGTGAAGGCCAGAGTCGTCGACAAAGACCAAGAGGGAAAATCGAGCCGTCAATTGACACGGCGACAGGCTGGCTGTGTTGTATCAGGGACAGGGTTTTGACTGGGATAGTATGCGTAGTGACTTTGTAGGAATAATCCATTCAACTGTCGCATGCAATGGCAGCGGTGATCGTCATTCGGCCGACAGGGCTTGTCGAGTTGGAGCTGGGGTGACGACGAATATTTCCGCAGCGCTGCATCTTTGTCCGGGGATGATATGATCCATTCGTCCAATTGTGCAACGAGAATACGGATACAGAGGCGGACTCAGGAAGGAAAAAGGGGGGAGAGGAAAATGCGGACGAGGCGGTGGCTTGACACGCAACGGCTATGGTTGGCGGTAATGGCTTGTTTCGCCAGTTGGTTTGTCTCGCATTAGATCCCGTCGTATATGTGCGCTGCAGTTGTTTCCTACAGGCACCGTTAGTTATGTTTCTGACGTTGCTTTTTTTTTTTTCTGCCCAGAAGCATAGGATGGACGCATGATGGGACGAACTGATCTTGCCTGAGGCGAGCAGAAAAAGAAGGATGCAAATAAAGAATTGATGGGACGACAGCTGTGTGGAAGAAGACGAGGCGACGCCGCAGCGGGAGGGTCAAGCAGTGTGACCGGGACGTCCCTGAAAGTGCCTCGTGGGAGAGTGCCACAGCCCGATTGATTTTTGTGTGCTCTTTGGGCGCAGTGCCAGGATGAAGGCACAGAGTACAAGTGCATCCATGAAGAGTTGCCGTCTGCTTGACCAAGTTGGCCCACGAATGATGAAAATGGCAAATGAAGGCAATATGCTTCTCATGCCTTGGACCCGGATTTGCGACCATTACCAGCTGCCTTTTGGGTCTTTTGGCCAGGAAGGAACCCAAGAAGGAGGAAGGGGGCCACGCCTGTTGGCTGCAGACGCCTTCCACTTTCCTCGTACGACACAATGCAGACATCCAAAAAGGAGGGGGATTTGCGTCTTCTGGGTCCCGCCGTGCGCATGTCCATGTGCCCCAGGCTTCACATGCAGCAGCACCTGGTGGTCCTCTCCAGTCTCTGTCCTCCAGAGTCCACTAAAGTTGGTTGTACCTTAGCTTGTGGGCGTGGCTAGGATACATGGGAAGGAATCATGGGATCCCGCGGGCAGGTGCGAAGCACCGAATTCAAGATGGAGGAAGGAGCAATCAGCCAAGCACCCAATGGAAGTAAGGTATCCGTCCGTCCATCCATCCATCCGTACCTTGCCTTTCTGTGTACGGAGTAATAGCAATCGAACGCGAAGCGAGAGAGCGCAGGTCAAGGTCCAGGTCCAGGTCCAGGTCTACACTAGGTCAGGGCCCCGGTCTAGGTGCCTGTGAACTCGTCCAAAGGGCTCCAAAAGGCTCCGCCGTCCATGTCAACGTAAAAATAAATGGATCCAACGAACCACTAATTCTAATTTGCCGCTAGTCCCATCCAGGCAGATAACCCCCTTTCCTTCCCCTTCTGGGGGGGACGCACCGCTTTGCTGCGAGGTACGGCGGCTGGTGCCCTCGTAAGTGTGTCTGTACCTGCAGCCCGCGGGCGGGATCGTCTGGTCTTGTTTCTGATAATAGCGCCTGGGGGTGGTCTTGGGCAGGCTTGGGGGTGCACTGGGTGGTCTTGGAGGCCCGGGTGGCTTGTACGGCTTGTACCTGGCGTACCTGCCGCGCCTGGTCTTCCTAATTTCCCAAGGGATCCACGACATGGCCTCTTTACCCTGTTTTCCTCCACCTCACCCTCTCCTTCTCCCTCTTCTCAGTTTCTCCTGGTCATCGAGCTCTTCATTCTCGTTCACCGCGTTGATTCCCAACTAGAGAGTTCGCTCTCACTTACACTCTTTTGAATCCGAATCAGCCAACACTCGTTATCCTGTAATCACCTAGTACGATTTTCTCCGTTTCGATCACTATCAACGCCGACAAGACACGCCATACATCGAAACAATTCTCGGTTCTGATTTGACTACTCGCGAGAAAAGGGTGAGTTGGTTGTGACGGAGGAAAACGCCTCCCAATTGGGGGTCTACACAAAAGCGATTCGGGCAGAACGCGCAATACAGCATCGCAAGAGGAAACAGCAACTTGCGCGCAGCATTGAAAGCGACCAACAGAAAGCAGCAACTGCATCGTTGATGCTGTGGTTGTTGTTGTTATTGCAAGCTCATTCATTGCCTGCCGATGCAGCGTCTCACCGCCCCCCTACGAAACGCCTTTTGTGTACACTCCAACGCAATTGATGTCCATGATGCGCTAACACGTACTCTAGAATATCAACATCAATCGACAATATGAGGTCCATCATTAACCTCGCCATTGCGGCATCCCTCGCCGCCGGTGTTGTTGCTCAACCCCACAACCACCGTCACCGCCACGTCAAGAAGGACACCGCTCTCGACCAGCGCGACGTCGTCGTCGTGTACGAGTCCGGCCCGACCGTGGTCGCCTACGAACTGGGAGGAAAGCCTATCAGTGAAGAGGAAGCCAAGAAGGGTATCGCCGATGGCCTGTTCGTTGTCGTTGGCGAGACCACTCCCTCTTCGACCCCTCTGCCGTCGGCCTCGACCTCCAAGGCCCCCGTGGCTTCCACTTCTAAGGACGCCCAGTTCTTCGAGGCCAAGGTTGTTAAGTCTTCCACCTCGTCCACCCCGACGCCAACCCCGACCCCGACTCCTACCCCCACCCCGACCCCGACGCCTTCATCCACCTCTACCCAGGCGCCCGCTTCCACCAAGGCCTCGAGCGGAGGCTCCAGCAGCTCCGGAGGCAAGGGTCTGTCCGCCGAGTTCCCCAGCGGCACCATCCCCTGCTCCCAGTTCCCCTCCGACTACGGCGCCGTTCCCGTCGAGTATCTCGGCACCAACGGCTGGACTGGTATCCAGAGAACCCCCAACTACAGTGTCGGTGACGCCGCCATCTCTTTCATCGAGACTGCTGTTGCCTCTGATGGCGGCTGCTCCAAGAACTCCTTCTGCTCCTACTCCTGCCCCGTTGGCTACCAGAAGACTCAATGGCCTACCGCTCAGGGCTCGACCAAGCAGTCTATCGGTGGACTTTACTGCAACGCCGATGGCTACCTCGAGCTCTCCCGCCCTACCAAGAAGACCCTCTGCGAACAGGGAGCCGGCGGCGTCTTTATCCAGAACGACCTCGATGACATCTCCTGCGTCTGCCGTACCGACTACCCCGGTACCGAGTCCATGGTCATCGCCACTGTTCCCCAGCCTGGTCAACAATTGGCTCTCACCAACCCCGCCTCTGCCGACTACTACGTCTGGAACGACAGCCCCACCACCGCCCAGTACTACGTCAACAAGCTCGGCTACGGCGTCGAGGATGCCTGCGTCTGGAAGAGCTCCAAGGACCCTCTTGGAGCTGGTAACTGGGCTCCTGTCAACATTGGTGTTGGCAAGAGCACCGACGGCAACACTTACATCTCCATCTTCAACAACGCACCAACATCGACCGCCCAGCTCGATTTCAACATTGAAATCACCGGTGCTAACAGCAAGTGTGCGCTTGTTGGCGGCTCTTACACCGGAGGTGGCACTGGCTGTACTGTAAGTTTATCTAATTTGGCGCATGGACATCGTCCCTTGACTAACACGCAATTCCCAGACGGCCATTTCCGGCAGCGCAAAGGCCATCATCAGATTCTACAAGTGAAGAGCCCATGACCAGCAGTTTTCTGGCGTGGATGTTCTTGCTTTTGTTTCTCGTGAATACCTCTAGAGTATCGACGGATCGGCACGACACGTCCGCTTACGATCTTTGATGGCCTTTTTCTAATTTGTGTGCATAATATTCATGCTGTGGAGACGTTTGGAGAGGAAAAGTTGGAGCGATGGATGGGGGACGAGGTCAATAGCCCGAGGGCGCAACTGGAGCTATCCCGGAATCACGACAAGCCGAGACAGACATCTCCTTTCTATCGGCGAATTCGGCCCATGTCAACTCGAGCCACGATCTGCGACGATGCCTTACGATTACCTTTATGAGGTGTTTTCTTTCGCGGTTGGGTGCCGACGTTTTGCCGCAAAACAAAGTACAACAGGAAACAGTTAGTAGGGGGTTAGAGATGATGGATACTCGACTCGGGTAGTTTGCATAAGAATGGACGGGAAGATTTGGGGAAGGGCAGAGTTTGAACGGCAGCCCTCGCCGGCACATTGTCACCATGACGCATCGTTTTCTTTGTCTATCGCTGTTTGCCTTGCTACCGTGCTTGTATTGTTTTCGCGGGTGGTCTCATGACGAGCGTAGCCCGCGGGCGTTGGGGGTACCCTTATAGCCGCTTCGTGTATTGCCGACGCAATGTTAGTTTTTAATTTTACTGCTCACGACTATCCTACTTTGCCATTGCCAACCAAGGTTGGGTTTAGCATCCGTGTAAGACAGAGTCATCGGGCTAGAACCCATGGCGAAGTTGGGCCTCGGGGTTCAGGGGCAGACGTCGGCGGCCAGGCAAACCTCGCACCCGCCGCCGGCTTCTTTGACGCCGTTCGGGCCGGGGGCCGTCAGATGGGGGATGGCCCGTCCCCGCATGCGGTTAGATGGTAATCGTGGGTTTACGGGCCGCCACAGTGGTTCAAGCAGACCGTTGGACGGTGAATTTCGAAGTATTCACCAAGCCACGATGCGTATCATGGTCCGGACTTGAAGCACATCGACGATATGGCATCATGGGACATTTGATTCACGCTTGTACGATTGATGCCAAACGCTACAAGGTGTGACTTTCTTCTTGAATTTCTTTAGCCGGTCTTACCGCTGACTTTGGCACCGTTGCTTACTGGGTTGGATTGGGTTAGAGGATGATGAGGAGATGGTGTCGACAGAGGTGGCTAAGTCGTCTTATTATGTAAACTGGCGCTGATCTGGATTTGCGACGAATGCCATCTCCAATTAACAAGAGTCACTTGCATCCAGTCATTGTGTTTATTCCTCTATTGTTGATTTGCCGCAGGCTCGGTAGGGGGTAGGTAGTAGGTACTAAGGTATTTGGCAGCCCAAATAATAAGGTAATGTATCGAGGACCAAGAGGGTCTCCTTCCGTTTTCATCTACGCCATTTTGGGAACCTTTTCTGCTCTTCTTTTCCAACGGTTTGCATTGGCTGAAATTGTTTTCCAACGGGTCTTACAAAACACCAGCTGCAATCAGCTTAAGCTTCAGGTGACAACTCGCATACCAGATTGCCCATCAAATCTGACATGATCTGTCGTGTGGGGTGGCTCCTTCTTAACCATTGACCCCATTCCGTCGCTCCCATTCCCCGTGCGGCCGGGCCCATGCGGTTCGGTTCATGGCGGCAGATCGGGGACGGTATGTGGTGCCCACCGGAGAAGGAGGGCCACATGACGGTTCAATTCCTTCATCCGATTTCCATTCTGTCGCCCATGCATGCGGACCTCTTGGTGGAAACTGCATAACAGCGGCTGGGCAAGACTTACATACCGAGGCAGGGAGGCCAAGGGCATTTTCTACGACGTTATTCTCTTACATATTGTCTACTCTGCCCCCGCTTCCCCTGCCTTATTGTGCTTGCCCATGGTGCCTTACTCCAAAAAGCATTGGCTCTTTCTCTGTGAACCAAACCCAGCTGCATCCCATCCATCCGCGTGTCCTGCCCGTGTTCTTCAATTTGCAACCTTGAACCCCTCCTCTCGCCCAATCGGCGCTTCCCCGCATCGCCACCTGATCACTCGTCTGTTGGAGATTTTCTCTACTTTAACCTCGACACCCTTCCTACAATTCTTTCGAGCATTTTTTTATTTTATTTAGATTTTAAATATCCTTACCTTGTCGATATCTTTGCTCGCTGTTTCGTCTTTACGGCATTCACTCAATCTGTCCTAGTTCTGACCAAGAGCAGCGACTGCGAGAGTGCTGCCGTGCCGTCCACAGCTCTGGGGTTGTCGTCAATCCATCATTGTATGGTGTGCCCCGCGATTCCGGTTGAATGGGGGGAAACACCAAAGACTACACTACACTACGTCAGAAAATCTCTGCAGGACATGCAGCAAAGCCTTGGTTCTCGATCGACAGATAAAGAGCCTTATCTCGATTGAAAAGTCTGAAAAAATTCCGCTCTGCAGTGTATCTCGTTCTATCCTACCTTGCCTTACCCCATTCGATCGAGTCTCGCCAACCTCTCTGCCTATCGACGGATTGTCATTGGCGAACCGGAGCTCGCTGGGCTAGCTATCTCGAGCTCGGCTCCACCTCTTAACCTCAGCTCGACTTCCTCCTCGAACCTATTTATCGGCGGCTATTTTCTTCAACAGTTGCTCGTTGATATATTTGTTGGCACTGACTCTCGTTTTCATCTTACTCATTGGCAACTCACTCACGAAGAAACATCGACAAACTGATCAGTCACCATGTCTTTGAGCCGTGTGGCCTCGGTGGAAACTTTCCAATTCCTCCCCCAAGCCCAGGGATCGAGACGAGGCAGCGATGCTTCTAGTGTAAGGGCGGGACGTCTCACATTCAACCCTCTTCCCGACGAATGGGATCCTGCAGCGAGCAAGCCTGATACCGTACTTGCTGTTGGCGCTTTTGAAGTTCCACAATGGAAAAGAATTCGTACGTCGCTCGTCTCACCAATAAGCCCGTCACCTGCCGTCAAATAAGTGCCCGGCGCCGTGATACCGTATACTGTGACACGGAACATGTGCTGACCAATTCTTGTAGTCCAAGTCACAATCGCCGTGATCTACTGCCTCTTTGCAGCGGGTATCGCCTTTGGTTTTGCGGCATTGAAGCCGGTGCTCAAACGAGAGGGTGCTTACAGCGACGTCTGTTCCACCGACGAGTCCAACTCAACTCCCGACGATACGTGTGTTGAGATTCACCTCAATCTCATGTTTACCGTGGCAGCGGTCGGTACCAACATCGCGGCTTTGCCCGTTGGCGCCCTGCTCGACCACGCTGGCCCGCGTGTTTGTGGACTTGTTGGCAGTGTCTTCTTGATCATCGGATCAATTCTGATGGCTTATGCCAAGACACTCCCTTTCGACGGTTTTCTTATTGGATATCTGTGTCTTGCTTTGGGCGGCCCATTCACCTACATTTCGTCCTTCCAACTATCCAATGCGTTCCCGAAGCATTCTGGCTTCATTCTCGCACTCATGACTGGTGCTTTTGACGCCTCTAGCGCCTTGTTCCTGGTCTACCGCCTAATATTCCAAGCATCCGAGGGTACCTTTGGCCATGAGAAGTTTTTCAAAGTGTACCTGATCGTTCCGGTTTTCATCATCGTTGCCCAATTCGCGTTGATGCCCAAGCAGTCATACAAGACGGTGGGAGAGCTGGTCGAGTTGCAAGAGGAGACCGCGGCCGCGAACGAATCAGATCCGAACCCGTACGACGATCAAGTTGACGAGAACACGGCTCTACTGCGCGAGGAACGCCGACACCGTGAGTCTGTCGTTGCCGATGTAGAGCAGTTGCTGGGCACCCAAAAGGTGGATAAGCAGATCCGCCAGGAGAACAAGAACGAGACCTCGGGCGTCTGGGGCGTGATGCATAACCGCTCGGCCCTGCGCCAGATCGCCTCGCCATGGTTCATCCTCATCTGCCTCTTCACCGTCATCCAGATGCTCCGCATCAACTATTTCGTCGCCACTATCCGGGCGCAGTATGAAGTCATCTTTGGTGACATGGGCAAGGCCATCGAGATCAACAACTTTTTCGACGTCGCCCTCCCCGTGGGCGGCATCCTCTCCATCCCCTTCATCGGCGTTCTCCTCGACCACACGAGCACTGTCACCGTCCTGACGGCGCTCGTCACCATCGCCACCACCATTGGCGTGCTGGGCGTCGTCGACAACATGGGCGCGGCCTACATCCAGGTCTGCCTCTTTGTGCTCTACCGTCCCTTTTACTACACGGCCGTGTCCGACTACAGCGCCAAGGTGTTTGGCTTTGAGACCTTTGGTACCGTGTACGGCACCATCATCTGCCTGTCGGGCCTCTTCAACTTTTTGCAGTCCGGGCTGGATGTCCTGTTCCACCAGACGTTTGGCGGCGATCCCGTGCCTGTCAACATTATTCTGCTCTCGGCCGGCCTCGCCGTCGGTATTGCGCTGGTTGGGTATGTGGCGCTGAAAGCGAGGGGGCTGAAGCGTAAAATGTTGGAGCAGGAGGCCGAGGCTTCTGTTCAGCTCCACAACTAAAGTCTTTCGAGGGAAGGGCTCTCCCTGAGATTCACTACGGCTTTCTGGCATGCCTTTTCGCTCTGGTTGTTTGCTTCCATGTCATGGCCTGCACGGAGTTGCGGAATCTTTTCGTCCTTTGAACTGTATGAAATATCGTTACCAGCATGTACATGTTCTCCTGGATATAAGTTTAAGTACAAGAATTGAAGCCATGTCCATAGTAATCGTTCATAGCAGCCACCCTATTCGAGGCCTTCTTGGTGAACATATCTCTCCTATAGACCTTAACCCTTTTACTCCTCATCATCCCCCTCATCAACAGTCGGCGTCTCAAACCTGCCCCCCGTAAGCCCCAACCCGCAAAACTGGCCCCATCCATCGACCTGCTCGCTCGCGTGCTTCAGCACCTCGCTGAACCCATCGTTGCCATTCTTGTTGACGCAAAAGTAGTTGTAATCAACCTGGCTGATCGAATCGTCGTCCCGCACGCTCGTGGGGTACTCGA